CTGTTACTTGGTGTCTATTAAAACATACACAACGTCAGCGTCCCCGTCATAGTCATCACCATGAATCATCCTCCTCATCTTGCATCCGTAGAACATCCTTGGTCTCTCTTTCCTGACACTTCTCTCTCCTTGTTCTTCTTCAACATAAGTCTCTTCATTTCGTTCCCCCCCTCGCCCCCTCCCCCCCCCCCCCTGTCTTCATTCTTTCATACCACCGCCCCCACTCCCCCGAGCCTGCCTGGTTTTCCCTTTTCCCCGTACAAATAATCCCGCCCTCCCTTCCCGCTCCCCTGCCTCTCGCCGCGCGCCGTCAGCGAAGGAGGAGATGAAGTGAGCGAGGCAGCCGCTGCTGTCATCCCGACCAGTCGAGCATGGCAGACCCCTGGGAGACCAGCGCGACTTCCCGCGCGTCGTCCAGCCAGCACGAGGGAGGCGGGAAGAAGAAGCACAAGAGATTCAAAACCAAGTTCTCTCACAGCAAAGCCAAGAAGCGCGTGGGAAAGCACAAGCCTCCTCCACTACCTTCCCCGTCCCATGACGCCATGCAGGGTGAGGAGGAGGGCCCTCGGGCAGGGAGCTGCTCGGCAGACGCTCATGGCGGTAGAGGCTCGCTCGTGGATCGCAAGTGCTGGTGCACCTGCAGCAAGGACGGAAAGGTTTACACAGCAAGAATCCTACAGCAAGAGGGAGATCGGCTCAAAGTGCACTACATAGGATGGAACGACAAGTACGATGAGTGGGTCAAAATCAAGCGCGTGGTCCGCTTCTTGGACAAGAACGAGCATGCGGAAGGAGATAGAGGCGCTAAGAACAAGGTGGGAGGGCCCATGCGGTTCTCCGACCCTCTGCTCTTCTTCTGCTACGAGTGCTATGAGGGTGGAAAGCTGCTGAGCTGCGACTGCTGCCCGCGACGGTACCATCGTGAGTGTGTGGGGCAGGCGCTAGAGGCGGAAGAGGTCAAGGTCTCGAGGGATCAGGGTTGGGTCTGCCAGCTCTGCTCTGCCTCGAAGGGACGCCTCTGCTTCCCCGACCGCGTTAACAGGCTGCAACAAGCCTGCGACAAGTTCCACATGAAGCACGCGGTAGCCACCTTCGGCAGGCAGACCGTGCGAGTCAGCGAGGTGAGCCAGGAGGGAAGCGATGAGGTGGAGGGGTCGAAGAGAGGTGTGGAGGGAGGATGAGATGATAGGCAGGAGGAGGGAGGAGGCAGGTCGCTGACTGCTTGCAACAGCTGTACTCTCAGTGCGTGAAGAGCGGATTGACGGGCAGCCAACTCGTTCAGTTTTCAAGCGCGCAGGAGGCGATCGATTATCTGACCAAGATGGTAGATCAAGAATCAGCGCGTGGAGACTCTCCGACCAAACAGGCAGACATGCTCGTCTACGGGGCCTCGGCACTGAGTCAGCCGGGAGGAAGCGACCTCCTGCACTGCGACGTGTGCGGGTACAGCCGAGTGGAGGTAGGATGCAGTACCTGCCCAGCTGCCTTCCACCTGCGCTGCCTTAACTTGGAGCAGCACATGAACGGTGATGTGCCAGCTGACTGGCGCTGCCGCATCTGCCTGCATGAGGCGAGCTTGACTTCGGAAGCGATGCAGTCGTTCGAGGCCGTCCTCACCGCCGACGACCCTCTGCTTGTTCCCTCCATCGCCTCCTGCGACAGACCCGCCGTCGAGGCCGACGCTTCTCCCACACGTGCAGCCAAGAAAGCTCGCCGGGGGGTTGCAGAAGTCGTGCAGGTGGGGGAGGAGCTCAAGGATCAAGACCAGGAACCAGCACAAGTACTGGAGCGAGATCAGGAGGCGGAGGAGGAGCTGCCGAAGCATCAGCAGCTACCAGTACAACAGCAACAACAGGAGGAAGAGGGAGTGGAGGACGAGATTCAGCAGCTGGCAAAGCATCAGCGACAGGAGGAAGCTCAGCTTGAACACGTGCAAGAGCAGCAGGACGACGAACAGAATATGCGTGTGAAGCAACAGGATGAGCACGATAAAATTCAGGAGCAGCAGGGGCAACAGAAACGTCTGGAGGACTCAGTGGGGCCGGAGCAGAGGATGGAGGAAGGGACGGCGGAGCAGGGGATAGAGATGGAGGAAAACGAAATATGTGGTTTGGGTGTTTCTCGAGCGAACATGCCTGAGGAGCCTGTTCTATGCTGCTCGTGTGGCTTCTTCGAGCAAGAGAGCGTCCGCTGCGACGTCTGCTTCCGGTGGTTCTGCTTCGGCTGCACCTGCCTCTCGCTCCAGACACTCCCCGCAGGCTCTTTCACCTGCCCCGAGTGCTTGGGCATCGACCAATATGACGCGCAGCTCGCAGTGAGCATGGAGGTAGTGCGGAATCGCATACAGGGAGGGAAGGTATGCCTGCAGGAGGTGGACATGTTCGCACAGACAGTCTACGACCTGCTGGCGACGTGCGCGTGGAAGGAGTTCACGATCAACCTCATGGTTCTGATGCAGCTGGTGGAGATGCAGATCAAGCACAATCACCTGCCGACGGTCCTGCCCTTTCACTCGGTGCACTATCCTCTGCCAAAGGAAATCGTGCGAGACATCGCCAGGTCTCACAGCAACCAGAAGCTGCAGGACGTGATGCGAGCAGAGAAGGTGAAAGAGGTCGAGCTCAAGCTGTTCAAGGTCAAGGAGGCTCCTTCGTCTCCTCAGTCTCCGCCTCCTAAGCTCAGGATCGGCTACGTTAGTGCTGATTTTGTCAACCACCCAACCGCCGACCTCATGCAGAGCGCACTGCTGCTACACGACACAAGCAAGTTTGAGATCTTCCTCTATTCCATCACAAGGAACGACTCGTCCATGTACCGGCAGGTCCTGCAGCGCGAAATCCCAAACTTTCGCCTCCTCCCCAACGCCAAGAACGACAAGGCGTGCGCGCAGATGATTGCGGACGACGAGATCGACATCCTCGTCAACCTCAACAGTCACACTGCCGGTGAGAGAAATGGCATCTTTGCCTTCCGCCCTGCGCCCCTCCAGGTGGTCTACCTCGCCTACCCGGGCACGCATGGTGCCTCCTACCTGGACTACAACGTGGTGGACATGGTTGTCAGCCCCAAGGAGCATCGTGAGATGTACACGGAGTCACTGATCTACATGCCCCACTGCTACCAGACCAACTCTTTCCAAGACCTCTACCCTGAGATCCTCTCCTCCTCCTGCCTCCCTTCCCGCAAGGACCACGGCCTTCCCGAGCACGCGCTTGTCTTCTGTACTTTCAACCGCCTGGGGAGAATCACGGAGCATATCTTCCACGCCTGGATCAGAATCCTCAAGCGCGTGCCCAACAGCGTCCTCTGGCTCTACAAACACCCGACCATGGCCGTCCTCCGTCTCCTTCGCGCAGCTCGCGAGCAAGGCATCGACGCGACGCGCTTCGTGTTCGCAGGCCCGATGATGCCCAAGATCGAGCACCTGAAGCGACTGACTCTCGCCGACGTCTATCTCGACACACACATCTACAACGGCCACACCACAGGAAGCGACTTCCTCTGGGCCGGCGTACCCATGGTCACGTTACAGGGCGACACCTTTCCTTCCCGCGTCGGCGCCTCCCTCGCTCGCGCCGTTGGCATGCAGGAGATGATCGCGACGGATCTGGCGGGGTGAGGATGGGAGGTCGCGAGATGCGCCAGCTGACGCTATGGCAGGTACGAGGAGAAGGCGGTGGAGCTAGGCAACAACAAGGAGGCGCTGGAGGAGATGAAGGCGAAGCTCAAGGCGGCTCGGCTGACTGCTCCTCTCTTCGACACGGCCCGATGGGTTGGAGGCGCTTCAAACGAGGCGCAGCGAGTGACGAGGATGCAGGTTGGAAGCTTCGAGGACGCACTGACGAGGATGTGGGAGAGACACGCGAGGGGTCTCGAGCCTGAGGACATCTTCCCCATCGACCCCGGAGCTAAGCACAGGGTGAGCTCCCTGCCAGTTGCGGGGGTCTGAGACTGACGTGAAGAAGGTCCTGAGCGACTCAGACTCGAGCAAGAAGTGGAAGGAGGAGAAAGGTGACGCGTTCCGACCCGACGCCTCCGCAAGTCGATGAAACTCTCCCCTCCCTCCTCCTCACTTGGAATGCTAAGCGCTTCTTTTCACATTTCAAGGGAGTCGGCAACGCACTTGGAGACATGTTGCTTGTAGAGATTGAAGTTGTTGCGCAGCTCAACCTGGTTGGAACTTGAGAGGAGAGGAGGGGAGAAAGAGGACGAGGAAAGAGGAGGACGAGGAGGAGGAAAGAGGAAAAGGAGGAGGAAGAGTGAGAGGCTTCGTCAAGGTCAGACCGCAGCTTCTACGTTGGCAGGAGAGTCGTCGGTTGGGTCCGAGAGCATGGAGATGACACTTAGCACGATTGTCTCCACCTGCTCGCCAGCTCACGCCAGGTGTCAACCAGTCGCGCTCACCGTGTGGACGGGGTTCCACCTCATGCTCGCGAGCTCCTGCGGGTTGGTCGCGTCTTCACCGGGGGCATGGAGGATGGAGATGCAGACATCTCCGTTGCTGTAAACTGAAGCCAGCGAGGTCATGCGTGCCGCAACATAGTCGCACACCGTTGGGATGCCAGATGGGAGTGAGAAACTTCATGCTGGGAGGCTTGTCGGGATAACTTGAGACGAGAAAGAAAGTGAGAAACACAAAGATACATCCCTCATACCCATATACATCCCTCATACCCATATACATCCCTCATACACATATACATCCCTCATACACATATACATCCCTCATACACATATACATCCCTCATGCGCATATACACCACTCACTTCTCTGGAAACGACAACCTCGCACTGAATATTCCTCCTTCACTGCTGCAACGTCACCCCCGAGCGAGGAGCCGGTTATCTTACTAGAGGGAGTCCGGCGGCCCACTGATGCAGATGTTCCACTCTAACATGTTGGAGTCGTCGACGAGACCTGCTAGAGTCAGCACAAGAGGAGCGAGAGGCAGGATGAGGAGGGGAGAGGAGGGGGAGGAGAACAAGGAGTTGATGAACGTCAGTGAAGACGAGGACGAGGAGGGTCAGGAGGGTCATGCCTGCCGAGAAAAGCTCTGACGGGTTTTCCTGCAACTCTAGAGCAGCAGACTGAGTAGAGCTCTCCCTCCCTCTTCCCTCACCTCTCAACTGCATCCTCAAGATCTGCGAGCTTCTCAACCTCGTAGGAGAGTTTGCTGCTGGCGCCATGGCAAGCAAACCAGGTAGAAGAGCCAAGGAAAGGAAGCAGGCGAGCAAGAGCTGACAATGATCGACTGACCATAATGACATGACTGTACCCTCCTCTCCTCTCCTCTCCTCTCCTCTCCCTCCTCGTCTCGCTTCGCTTCTCCCGCCTTCGGAGGTTCTTTTGAGGGTCCAATAAATAAAACCCAGATTTTCTGTTCACGGACCTCAAGACTCCCTCCCCTCCCTCCCCCCCCTCCCCGCCTCCCCTTCCCTCCCTCCCCTCCCCTCTCTTCCCCCCTCCCCTCCCCTCCCCCCCTCCCTCCCTTCCTTCCCTCCCCTCCACTCACTCACTAGCTCACTCACTCACTCACTCACTCCCCCCCCCCCCCCCGACCCTCCCTCCCTGACCCTCCATCTCTTCCCCACCTATCTCATGCGACCAGCATGTCGCATGTTTCTCGTGCTGGCTTTCAGGCTTGCTGTGCTACTGGAGGGCGCAGGTCAGGCAGCAGCGCTGAGGGAGGGAGGGAGGAGCATCGGGCTGTTGGGCCGACACACCTTCAACGAGCTGCAGGGAGCAGGAGCGAAATGGCGGCAGAGCGCAAGAGGAGGAGAGGGGAGACTAGCGATACGAGGAGGAGAGGGGATGAGCTTCCTCCAAGCCATGGAAGAGACGATGCTTGACACGTGATGGCCTGCTGGTCCCCTTGGCTCCTGCTGAGCTACTGCTGCGCAGATCCTTGTGGATGTGTCTTATGCTCGCCTCCCTCGTTCCCTTCGTCCAGAAGCTGCTGCTGCTCGAACTTAACCTCACCCCGGTAGCCCCTGTTACTCTCCTGCTATCTCAGATGCTCCCTAAACTTCTTCCCCGTTGCTGCCTCTCCCCAATTCTCCCCCACTTGCCACCTCCTTTTCCCCCTCTCCCTTCCCCCTCTCACTCTCTCTCTCCCTCTCTCTGCATCTCCTTGACTCGCGTCAGATGTTCCTCGGCTTTGCCGAGGCTCTCGCCGTCTACTCGATTGATCGATACCGCGACAACTTGCAATGCAAGGACTTGCGAGCCCAGCAGGCAACCTGTGATGGGAGTGAGCGAGTGGGGAGGGTGAATGGTTGCAGCAGCTGGTTGAGCGAAGCAAGAGACTGTTTGTAGTTGGATCCTGCTGCTTCACCCTCCTCTTCTTGACCGCTCCTCTGGGAACGAAGGTCTCAACCTCTTGCCGTCTTGCTCATGCTGACCCTCATCAGCTCGTCTTCTTGGTGCACCTCTCGTTGGGCTTGCTCTACGCCATGCGGTTGCCGGTGCTGATCTCGAGCAGGAGCGAGGTGAGATCGTGCTGTCGTTGAGGGATGCTAACGCTAGAGGAGAGAACAACTTGGAGGATCAAGGAGCTTCCGTGCTCAAAAGCTTTCTTCGTCGCCTTCAGCACCAGCTTCATGGCCCTCTTCGCGCCTCTGGCTTATGCTAACTCTCGTCGTTTGCCGGCTGGCCCCGCATGGAGGGAGTCAGCGCAGGCCTTGACCTTGGTCTTCTTGATCTCCTTCTCCGTTGAGAACTTGCAGGACGTCAGGGACTTGGACTCTGACAGGTGAGGCTGCGCGCTTGTGCTCCCTCATGGACCTCCAAGTTGACACCAACGCCTCTACCTCCTCACCTCTTGCCGTCAGAGCCGCGGGAACTGTGACCCTCGCCCTCAAGTTGGGGGTGCGGAGAACCAAGTGCTTGCTGACGTCACTGTGGTTCTTGTTTGCTGCCATGCAGGTGACGATTGCGGTCATGTTGTTCCTGCTCATAGTGCAGCAGGTCCGCGCCAATGGAGCGAAGAGCTCGACAGTTCAGCTCCTGGTCGCCTTGACCGTCGTCTCCCTGACTTGGTCGCCAGTGATCATCTCGAGCAAGTTCTTCTACTCGCTGCTGCTTGAGAGCGTCTTCGCTTCTCCTCTGCTCTTCTCTCTTCTCCTCGACCTGCTCTCTTCTCCCAGTTACAAGTGATCCGCTCGGCCTGTGCCGAGTTCTACAGGCTGTTGTCCGGGAAAAGTTAATATATCTGGCCAGCCTGGAGACTACCCACCACCCCCTCCATTCACCTTTGACAGCGACTAGGGTGGTGCATCAGCTGTACCACCCCCTATAATTCCCACATATCCTGAGATATTTATTGGGTGGGGGTGGTGACGGAGCCGAAGAAGTCTGGTTGTCACGTCCCGGTAAGGTCTCGTGACTTCCTAATTGAGTTTTATAGTTTTTGTTGGAAATGGGGGGTAGGGGTAATCAGAGTACCTCATTTTGATCCATATTCAAGAGGCGTATTGGTGGTAGGGTACAGATAATGTGAGGGTGGTCTTGTGGCATCATGGAGGATTATCTGAAGATTGCAACTTTACATGGTTTGATTGGTTCAAACTAACCACCCCTACCACCAATATCCCAGTCATTACTACCCCTGATAATCTAGAATAAACCTAAAACATTGGTTTTCAATGTAGATTCGAACCCACCCCTGATCATGTCCTACCACCCGTACCTACTGGAAAACGCTTGGAACTACCCCCTATCATCCTACGTACACCACCCGTACCATGGTACTACCCCCTCCGTGGTTCATTGCTCAAGCTGATTTGTGAGCCCGCCTCACTCTCCTTGGTACCTGCGCTCACCGCGCCATGCTCTCGTGCTAGGGCTGCGCATGAAACCTTTCTGCGTGTTTTGTATGTTTGCCTCCTGCTTGCCTTGTTCTGACCTCCTCCTTCCTCTCTACCTGCTTGTTGTTGTCCCTCCTCCATGTCGTTCCTTCCTCACCTTCTCCTCAATCCTCATTTCCCCTCTCTCACCTCTTTCCATGCCTCTCCCCTCCTCCTGATCTTTCCACTGGATTACAAACCTTATCTGCATTCTTTAGCTTTTGGTTCCTCATTTTCTTCCGAAGATGCTTTACTTTGATGCTTTCTTGTATCACCCAAGGCATTATCGTTGTCTCGTCTGGGTCCACTTTACCCACTTCCTCTCATATTTCCCCAACAGCCCAATCGTTTCTCCACTGGTCTACCCTCTCCTCCCTCATTTCTTCCTTTCCGTCTCCTTCTAGTCCTTTTTTTTTTCGCGTGCCTTACCTTCCCCTGCCTCCCACCAATCCACCTCGTCAATATAACTAATTTTCGACATTTTTCTCACTATCTCTCAACCCCTGCCTCTCCCCAATGAGTCTTTCTCCGTTACCCCACGACTAGCCTATTTCATCCAGCTATCCCTTGCTCATGTATCCATTGCGATTGTTCCTCCATCTTGATTGTTGATACTGAGCTGGTATGTGTTCCCCCGTCGCTTCTTTACCTTCCAAGATGTGCATCTGCCCTCCACGTTCTCGTCTGCTGATATCGAAATCAATGCCCCTATCGCCTCTGTGTTGTTCGTTTCCTTGCCAATCTGTTCGTGTTACTCAACACAAGGATATGCAAGAATTGAACGATTGAGCAGAAGACATGCATCATCTTCACTCTTCTTACTGTGACGTTGCTTGTGAAAATTTGTGCGTAGGGCATATTCTGGCAGGCGCATGACGACGCTGAGGCACGTGAAGCCTCGAACGGGGTTGGACGAGGTGGTTGGAGGAGCTTTCAAGCGCAGAGTCTCTAGTTGGAAGAATCAGATTAAGGTCAACTGATGCCGTTCTACATCCTGAGGTGAAAGTTCGTGTTTCAGCCGGGCGACCCCAAGTATCCTCCAGAGAGAGATCGATACCATCTCTACATCTCATACGCATGTCCCTGGGCGCAAAGGTGAGATAAACGGGGGAAGAGATCGAGTCTGACATGGTGAAGGTGCTATGCCACCATCCTCTTCAAAGGCCTCGAAGATGTAATCAGCATCTCCATTGTTCATCCAACTTGGCAGTATACTCGCCCGGGACAGGTTAGACCGCAGGCGCACGGCGTGACTGACTTGATTGTGACAGGATGAGCATATTGGGTGGGTCTTCGGCGACCCGTCAGATCCTCCACTCACGAACCTCAACGGCTATGGCTCTTACTCTGCCGAGTTTTCGATTCCTGACTTCGTGAATGGAGCAAAATGTGTAAGAGACTTGTACGAGCTAGCAGGGGATACAGATGGGAAGTACAGCGTGCCGATTTTGTGGGACAAGAAGAATAGAACGATAGTGAACAACGAGTCAGCTGACATCGTTCAGTTCTTCAACAGCGCTTTCGACGAGTTTGCCAAGTATCCGGATGTTGACCTGTACCCTGAGGAGCTACGGGCTCAGATAGAAGAGCTCAACTCTTGGATCTACCCGTGCATCAACGATGGGGTTTATCGCTGCGGATTCTCTCAGACACAGGATGCATACGAGAAGGCTTTCGATGAGTTGTTCAACGCATTGGATAGGTCAGCCTCATGCTCCGGTCCACCCAAGACACTGAGTCTTGTCTTTACGCTTAGGGCGGAGGAACTGCTGAGCAAACAGAGGTTTTTGACAGGACCAAGGTTCACCATGGCGGATCTTCGCCTGTTCATGACATTAATTCGCTTCGATCCTGTAAGTGTTGTCCCACGTGATTGGGCCGAGAATCTGAGCTCTATCTAGGTGTATGTAGTGTATTTCAAGACGAACAAACAGCGGATCGACGAGTATCCGAACCTCTTCAACTACATGAAGGAGATCTACCAGGTGATCTGATCATTTGCCGCCACTGCCCGACATGCTGAGCCCGAGCAGATGCCTGCGGTCAAACCAACTGTAAATTTGCAGCACATAAAGGTAAGGTTGTCTCCATGGCCCTTACCATGACGAGGATGCAGATTCACTACCTGAGCTCGCACCCCAAGCTGAATTATTATGGGATCATCCCCAAAGGTAGAGATGTAGATCTGGATGCCCCCCACGATCGGCATCGCTTTCCGTACGAAGATTACAAGAAGAAGAGGTGAAAGAGGGGAGCTTATTATTGTTTCATTAAGGCTGTAAAGGGTTTGTTCAACAACCACCATGAATTCCACGCATTTTCGCCAATCTAAAGCGTTACCTAAAGAGCCTTGCTTTCAAACTCTCCAATGGAAGATAAGCTTTGACGCACAAGCTCTACCCTCCTCTCCTTCTCTCCTTCTCTTCCCAAATGTAAACTACACCTGCAAGGTTCTCAATCACAACTGTGTTTGGCTATCGCATCATAGAGCCTCACTTCGACCCACGGTTGCCTGACAGCAGCAGCACGGCTTGACGAATATCTTTTCCTGGGCTGGGATCAACGAGCAATCGGCTCAGAGTTCATGTACCGGCAAGCTCTACATCATCGATTCTCTTGATCACCTGCAGCAACTTTCACTTCACCACAAGCAACCATTTCGCTGCCTCACATCCCCCACGTATATAGCTCCGCTGAGGTGAGCCGGACCTCCTTGCACGAGAGCGACCACCTGCACCGCCACGTCAAGGCCATGGCTTGATACCAGAGCAGACCCACAGCGATGCCTTCCGCACACTCTCGAAACTGAAGCCCGACCCCTGCCTCTCCTTGCCCATCCACCGGCCTGCAGGCAGTGTCAACGTCCTCGATGGGCAGAGAAGCATAACCTGGTCGTAATCGATCCCTCGTCCGAGCTTATGCTCCTGCTACTTGACACGGTTTCAGACGTCTGCACGAAGTGGAGGTAGGGGTTCGAGTCAATGCTGCTTGACAGTACGAGATCCGCGTTCACAATCATGACTGAGAGCAAATTGCGACAAGATGTCAGTGCCTTGCTAACAGCAACCGCCTGTCATAATGATACAACTCAATGCCATGCATCATAGAGCAAAGTTTCAACAACAAAGAAGATTCTAGGGTAGTGAAAATAGAGATGTCGAAATTGAGACATCAGAGCAAAACCACAAAGATGAGACCAAACAAACAAGTTCAAGCTATTTGGTGACGAACAGAGGCAGCAGGGAGGAAAACTAGGCAATACAAACAAAACCGTTGCTGACGAAAGACCTTACAGCAAAGGAAGGAAAAAACTTGTCTGTGTTAGAAATTCACAGATAGCATAACATTCTTGCAACCAAGGAGAACAAACGAAAGCTGGTAAATTTTTCCAAATCGGTAGCGTTTGACTGAGAACAGAGCAGTCGGGGAGAGAAGGGTCAATCAAGCGAGGAGGGGGAGCAGGAGGAGCAGGAGAGAAGAGGGAGGAGGGAGGAGGGAGGAGGGAGGAGGGAGGAGGTGAGCAGGAGGGGGGGAGGGAAGGAGATGCAGGGGAACAGCATTGTCGTCGGGGGAAGCAGAATAATAATACAGGGGTAGGGTAGAAATCACAAGGCAATCTTTGAGGGGTAGGGTAGAGGGTATGGATTCGGAGGACAGTACGGGTACATGGGGGTACTTTCAACAACTCTTGAAGGGTGGTGGTGGTCTGTTTCTAGGGCAAATGGCTATAGGGGAAGGGGGGTAGTGAAGAGGAGTGTAAAATTTAATAGGTGATGGGGGTGGTGCAGGTTACTTGACGAGGTATGCCTATCAAGCTTCAACTTTTTCTAAGTCTCTCTCTAGGTAAAACCTTTATGTCGCCCTGTTTGTACCACCCCCCTGCTTTAGCACCCCCATTGAACCCTCTGTAAGCCAGTGGGGGTGGGGGCACTACTCTCGTTGTTTTTTTTGGTGAAAGTTTCCATACGGCAACTTTATTACTGGCTAACTTTACTCAAAGTTAAGTGAAATTGTTACCAGGAATGACTCACTCCGAAACAGTCGGAGAGCGCCGAGATCCGAGTGATTCTTGATCGGAATCTCAGTGATCGGGCCGCCGTGCCTCAGGCCCGGATTGTCCATTCAACACGGCCCGGCCCGGTTGCGGCAGTGCCCGCCGTCCGGGACGTGACGGTACGGTACCCAGTGGGGTTGGCCCGTGCGGGGCCGGCGGTACCGGCGGCCCCTTCAACCGTGACGTGATACCGATCATGACGTGAACACCCCGGCTCATACACGATAACCGGAGGCAGCCGACTGACCGCTGTCAGTCGCCGGAAGCGTCCGCCGCCGTAGGCGCCGGGCCGCAGCCTCGGACGGACGGGCCGCGGCCCGCCGGGCCTGAAAGGGCCCGGCCCGGCCGGCGGCCCGGGGGCCGGGCAGCACTGATTTGTTACGGTCGGCTGACGCTCAGAGCCTCGGAGGCGCTCCTGTCTGGTGCGAGGCGCATGACTCCCTGACGGAGCACAAGTTTGTTAGACTTGTACTATGCCAAAGTCACACACGGATGATATCACACGGCGACCTTGGTTGTAACAACGTGACAGACCGGCGGTTTCAAGTTGCTCAAGTGACCAAGTTTAATGCACACGACTGTATGCCGCGAGTAGTAGGATGTGAAACCCGGTTGAAGCATCCAGACATGGGAGGACCTTAGCAAGACGGCTAGGAAGGCTGACGGAATACAAGTTTGTTAGACTTGTACTAGTCCAAAGTCACGCAGCCGGCGGCGCAACCCGCCGGGCCCGGGAGTGATGGAGTCGTATGCCCGGCCAGCCGTGCCGCCGGGCCGGCTGAGTCCGAGCAGTTTCACCGGGCGGCAATGTAGTGCAGAGACGAAGCAGGGGGCCTTCCTAGCCGTCTTGCTAAGGTCCTCTCATGTCTGGATGCTTGGGGTTTCACATCCTAGCATACAGTCTATCTCTCATGTGCTCCTCAATTCTGGTTTCGTGTGCATTGTTTTTAAATTAAACTCAGTCTTGAGCAAAAACTGTCTTGTTACAACTAAGGTCGATGTGATATCTGCGTGACTTTGGCATAGTACAAGTCTAACAAACTTGTGCTCCGTCGATGAATCATGGGCGAGCCGTATGCCAGCCGTGCCACGGTGCGGCCAGTACGGTGCCTGATGACGCAGGACGCCCCCCGGCATCTGTGGTACACATCCCTGGCCCGGTTTGCGCGCTCTCAGCGTCGACTCGAGTCTCATCAGCACTTCATTCCTCCCCCTGCGCAGCGAAATGTGACCCCTCTTGTCAGATCAGCAGCGTGATATCCTCACCTTGCACAGCCGCAGGACACACTCGCTCAAGTCGCAGGCCCCATGATAGGGTCTTGCAGTCTACCATCTTCGCTCATTTTCCTGAGCGTGACCTGAGCCACTCTCCGATGCGCCGGTCTCGAGCTACTACCCCCTCAAGGCCTTCCCGCACCGCTATGCTCAGATGCTCGACTGCTATCTCCATGGCATGCCGATCTGCCAGTGTCCGACGGAATGTGATGGATGTCAGCGCGAGCTCGATCCCTCCGTTGCTGCCGCGTGACATCATCTCCAGACCTGCAAACGCCGATCCTCCAAGCTTCCCACGGCGCATGACAACCTTACTCGTACGATTCGGTCGATGCTGAACGAAGCTGGTCTTCAGAGCGTCATCGATACAGTGGGGGATCCTCGTTCTCGACGGCAGGTACCCTCCCATCCTCATGGCCGCATGCCGTGCAAGATGAAGGGCGATATCCACATCCCTGGAATCCGCGATCGAAAGTCTGAGCAGTACGAGGGCTTGATGGCGGACGTGACGTTGGTCCACCCTTACATTGGCAGCTCTGCCGACCTGACCAAGTGGGGGGAGGTCAACCTCGACGCCCTCCATGTTGCAGCGTCTGAGAAGATTCGCAAACATCGCGCTGCATATGCCATGACTACTCCTACTCGAGCGTTCATCCCTCTTGCCATCTCGACGGACGGTACCCTGCATCCTGACACCCTCCGCTTCATCTGGTATCTGGCGGACATCATTGCTCAGCGCTCGATGCCTCTTGAGGATGCGGCGTTTGGTCGGCACTTCGTGCCTGATGACGGACCTGCTGCTGAGGTCTTGACTGACAGTGGTCAGTCGGCTGCCTCCGGGTATCGCGTCTAAGGAATTTTATTCCTCCTGCATGCTCCTGCTGCTTGTTGCTTGATTGCCTGACCCTTAGGCTGCTTGTCTGCGGCTTCGCGCTTGGGCTGGCGATGCCGCGTCTGGGTGCCAGCAGTGCTGGTTCTTTTCGGGCTTGTGTTTTGTGTGTGATTGTGCAGCTTCTCGCTGTGCGCTGTGTGCCAGGAGGATTAGCTTGTTCCTGCTTTGTTTTGCTTGAGGCACTTTTTCCCTTCTGCCAGTAAATCCAGGGATTTTATTCCTCCTGCATGCTCCTGCTGCTTGTTGCTTGATTGCTTGACCCTTAGGCTGCTTGTCTGCGCGGCTGAGTCGCGCTTGGGCTGGCGCTGCCGCGTCTGGGTGCCAGCAGTGCTGGTTCTTTTCGGGCTTGTGTTTTGTGTGTGTTTGTGCAGCTTCTCGCTGTGGACTGTGTGCCTGGAGGTTTAGCTTGTTCCTGCTTTGTTTTGCTTGAGGCACTTTTTACCTTCTGCCAGTAAATCCTATGTCTCCTCTTAATCCACTGCTCACCTCGATGGCGGCGACGCCGCAGCAATGCCCAAGGACCGGCGTGACCCGACCGATACTCGGATGGGGGAAACATCCAGAGTGGAGCCGACGCGCCCACCGTGACGTCGGATGCCTTTGGAGAGCTCGACACCACTAAGGTGCCTGCTGCTGGTCCGAGCTCGCCTGCCCGGCTCCGATGCCGCACAGCCCCGGTCCCTGGGCATGGATGCGGCGTCGCCGGCGTCACGGGCGGTGTTGGTCTCGGCTACCGCTGACTCGGTGAGGACTTGATGCGTCACCTCGAGCGGTACCGTGCTCCTGTGCCCAGCCTCCCTCTGTCCGCTGCCCCCGGCGGACCCCCGGGCTTTGCGGCGGCGGCGGGGGCGGACGGCTCGACTGACAGCGGTCTAAGGGAGTTTCATCTCGGACGTCCCCATTCGCGCTTGGGCTGGCGGTGCCGGGTCTGCTGACGGACGCCAGCAGTGCTGGTTCTTTTCGGGCTCAGTTGTGTTTTGTGTGCTTCTCGCTGTGCGCTGTGTGCCAGGAGGAAGTTTAGCTTGGACCCGGGCCTTCTGCCAGTAAATCCGTATTACCTCTGTTCCTGCTTTGTTTAGCTTGAGGCAGTTTTTACCTTCTGCCAGATGATCCGCTCGTCTCCGACTCCGATGGAAGAACAACTTCGAGTGACGTTGGAGTCCACCCTTACATTGGCAGCTCTGCCGACCTGACCAAGTGGGGGGAGGTCAACCTCGACGCCCTCCATGTTGCAGCGTCTGAGGAGATTCGCAAACATCGCGCTGCATATGCCATGACTACTCCTACTCGAGCGTTCATCCCTCTTGCCATCTCGACGGACGGTACCCTGCATCCTGACACCCTCCGCTTCATCTGGTATCTGGCGGACATCATTGCTCAGCGCTCGATGCCTCTTGAGGATGCGGCGTTTGGTCGGCACTTCGTGCCTGATGACGGACCTGCTGCTGAGGTCTTGGCTCGCAAACGCGCCGCCACCTATCAGTCAGCGCCTCACTATGCAGCTGACGCTGGAGGCGCTCTTGTCTGGTGCGAGGCGCATGACGCCCTTGCGGGCGCAAGCACATCTCGCGAGAGCCAGAGGCCCGGACAGCTCCTCCTCGGACTCTTCGCCGGAGGTCTCCGACTCCGATGGGGGAAACACGTCGAGTGGCGCCGACGACCGGCGCGGAGCTGGCGAAGCGTCTCCGTCCCTCACTGTGACGTCGGGTGCCTCCGGAGAGCTCGACACCACTGGGGTGCTTGCTGCTGGTCCGAGCTCGCCTGCTTCCTCCCCGGCATCGGTCGGGTCACGCCGGTCCTTGGGCATTGCCGCGGCGTCGCCGCCGTCCGGTGACGGGCGGCTACCGCTGACTCGGCTACCGCTGACTCGGAGGCTAGCGAGGAGGACTACCTCGAGCGGTACCGTGTTCCTGTGTCCAGCCTCCCTCCGTCCGCTGCCCCAGGCGCCGGACCCCCGGGCAACGCCGGCTCCTTGTCGGCGGCTGCCCTTTCTCCGTCCGCG